TGGGTACAATGGGTGTCAGTTGGGGTGATGGGGAGTCAGGAGGCAGCTGGGTATTCACAATCTGATCTGCACATGTTGGACTGTGCTCATACAATTGTTTAATTCTCATTTTTGGAACAGGAAGTAGTTCCTACCTACCGGAAGTGTTTCCCAAGCGGAAGTGATCTTGAATCGCGCCTGCGCAGAGAGGCCGCAGGCGGCAAATTCCGCTCTTTCCTATTTTTCCTCTGCGTGACCCGGAAGTGGCTGAAGATTGAACGGAAGCTGCTTCCGACTGGCTGGAAAGCAAAGGGCCCTGCTGCGAGGGGACCAGTAGGATGTGCGGGAGGCGCCCGCAGCCGGAAGTGCGTTTTAACGGCCTCATTCCGAGTTCGTCCCTCCGAGCGGGGAAGTGACGTGAGACGCGGGCAGCGCCTGGCCCCGCTGTAGGGAGCCCACGGGAGACGCCCGCGCCCAGCAGGGGGAGTCCCTGGACCCGCCTGGCACGGGGGGCCGGGGCCGCTCCGCTCCGGAGGAGCCGCCGCGCCTGGGGAGTGCCCTGGACAGCGCCCCCGTGCGCCGCGGGCGGCCGGGCGCCTCCCGGGCCCGCTCCGCGCACCATGTCCGGCCCGCCGCTGGGGGCGCCGCACAGCCCCGAGGAAGGCCCCGGCAGCGCCGCGCAGTGGTGAGTATCGACCCCCGCCCCCGAGATGTTCCCGGCGGGGCCGCTCGCAGGCAGCGCGGGACAGTGCCCGGGGAAGGAGTCTCTCGACAGAGCGGCCCCACCGCTGCCCCTGGGCCGGGGCTGGGGAGGAGCCTCGGAGCCTGGCCCCCGCTCGGAGAGAGCCCTGGGCCTGGGGACGGCAGCCACTGCAGGGTCTGACACCAGCCAGCTGCTCTGGCCTGCCACTGAGCTAGGGCCGCACCGGAGGGGGACCAGGACCCAGAGGTACTGGGGGAGAGGGGAGGAGCTGTTGCTTGTCACTGGGGTGAACCGAGTTTGGGGGTTCCCAGGCACTCTCAGAGCGCAGTGTGAAGCCGGGTAAGTAACAATCATCGTTAGGCTCATGGAGGCTTACGAGGACAGAGGGAGACATTTGCACTGGATCCTGAAAGGAATGGGAATCGGATTAGGGTAGGGAAGGATGGGGCGGGGGGTGTAGCCTACTTTCCCTGCTCTACCCTAATGCTGGATTGGCAGGTGGTATGTTTTCTCTCTGTTCAGCTACCGAGGAACAACAGAGAGTGTGTGCACAAGACCTGGTCTTGCCTCCATAGTTAAACAAAGAGCACATTATTCCCCTGTAAAATTGCATTTTGCTTTTGATTTGGCAGCTTTTCCTAGTGACCAGAGTTGCTTTGTCAAAGGAAAACTTCCCTAATTTGGGGAGCCAGTTTATCGTTCCCTGCTCTAGGTCAGTCCCTTAAAGACATCATTGGCATGGTGTATCAGTCTCAGAAGACCTTCTCTGTATATAGGCAACGATTTTCCTGAAAGACTGAGTGGGATCTAAACCAATAGTGTAACTAGATAAAGACTGCCCCAAAAGTCTTAAGGGGGCAGCCATCAGTGAGGAGAAGGGCAAGCACTGCTTTCACTCCTTCCTCCCTGAACATCACACAGATTAGGTCTGTGCCATTTTCAGGTTTCTCCCAATAAAAGGTATAGAAGGGTCTCTTCTTATGCAGACAGGACTGGCTGCAGGGCTGTTCCCAGGGATGGGAATGGGTAGTGGCTTTACAGGTGCAATAAATCTCTCTTGGTTGGCCAAAGATGATTTCCTACAGGAGCATGAATCAGAGCAAAACTTCCCCTTTTCACACCTCTGAGATTGAGTGGTCTTGTACTCCATACTAGATACTAATATAGAGAAGGGCAGTTATTCGTTCCCACTTGAGCCTTTTTTGGTCAGTCAGTATCTTTGCAGGCATGGGTTAAGAACCTTTTTAAGGGAGCAAGCCGAATCTAATCAGTGCAATGTAATAATTGTAATCTAAACAGTCATTAGAAATAGCTCATCACTGTCAATAACTAAGCTAGGACTAGTTTGTCTTCTAAGTAGCTCCTTGTTAGAAGAGTGCCTAATGATTCAGCTCTATGAAAGGAGAGCTGCAATGCTGTTGTGACTGAGTGACATGCAGCTTCTGAGTCACAGAATCCCTACCCTACAGGTTACAGAAAGATCTAGGATGCACTGATCTCTCCAGTAAGGAAAGTTTACCTACTTTCCGCTAATTGCAGTTCTAGCCTTCAACACTGTTGTCTTTCTTTCTCTCGGCCAAGAGGCAACTGAGGAAACTCCATGATGTCTAAAATACATTTTAAAAAATGGAGAAAACATATTAGGTCCTGTTCTTGCATCAACCGTTTCACTGAAAACAATGAGGAGGAGCTCTCTTGCTCAGAATCAGGTTCTGACTGTGAATCAGGACAGGTTGTTTCCTGTGGAACTCTTATGGAACAGGCAAAATCTATCAAACAGATGAGTTTGGAAAATGGTAAGCTGGAATACACTTTAGAGTTGTAACTATTCACAAAGAACATTCTTTGTCTGGTTCCAGACCTCAAAATATCCAGAAAAGCAACCAGCTGTGAAAACAGAGCTTACTTATTGAATCTTGGGTCTGTAGAAAATGCCCTACAGTCTGAATGATACCTGGACTCTACTTGTTCTTAGTCATGACTGTGAAATCTGAAGTTCTTCACACCCTCTGAGATTTAGAAATTAGATTGCTGCATAGTATCAAGATTTAAAATGGACATGGAATTGCAGCAATGGCTTCTTAGGCTTTCTTATTTCTGTGTATCTCTAACATTTAATGTTTGATTAAGAAGATCACTGGAAATTCCTGTGATTGGCGCAGCTTTGGTTCAGAAGTTAACATAATCATTCTTGTTCTGGCAGTCAACAACTCCTTGAAAAGTCACCAATTTTACAAGCCTTGTGTACCCAAAGTTAGAAGACATTCTCACCCTCACAATCCTGAAGAAGAAAAGGATTTGTTATGCTTCTGCCAGAACCATCTGGTTAAAGCCAAAGCCCTGTGTACTCTAGAGCAAGCTGGAGGTTCTCAAGAACAAGCCAGACCTAAATTCTGGAGCAAGATCACTGGCTCCTGTAGCCTCCGCTGCAATTTCTGATTTTTTTTCTAGCTATAGGTTTGAGTGTCAAAAATATGCAATTAATTTCCTTGTGGAGTTTGTTTTTTATATTCAATTTATTTTATTCTGTCCACACACTTCCAATTTACAATATGCATTAGATTGTCATCTTTAGGTTTCAGAGTCAACATGTTAAGAGAGTGGGGCCTGAATCATGGTTTCATCACAAATTTGTAGAGAGTCAGCAGTCCACTAGTGGATTTATTCACACTGAGGATCACAAAATGAACAATTTGATGACTGGGATTAAAGGCATGCTAATAGGTAGCTAAAAGATAAGGAGGGAAACTGACTCTGTCCTCTTGTTTCTTTAAGGTATCATGCAAGCCTGAAATGGTATTGGCTTTTGCTTGTTTTGAATTTTTTCCTCTTCAGAGAGAGATGCATGTAATATTTTTTCTTTATGTCTTTCACACTGGAAATTCAGGACTTGCCTTTTGTAATAGCATAGAGAGCTGGTAAGACTATAGTTGAGATGCCATGCTAGTTAACCCTGATTGAGGGGAACATTACTTTTGTTCAAACGGGTAGGACAGGGAAATAACTATTGAAAGAACACCTATTAACATACATGCTTGGATGAACATTTGGGAGAACAGGTTCTTAAGGATTCAACACCCTTCCCCTTCAGTTAATGGCTGAGAAAGTTCACAATAGGCGAACTCTAGGACCACCAGATTTGACATTCCTGTTTATTCTAAGGTAAGAAAGAATCAGGATTTTAAAAATATATATATTTATTTATTTTGATATGGAGAACCTCAGACTGCCTTTATATATCAAAAACAACAACAAAAAGCATTAAAAAATGTCCCAAACCCGGATTTTGTTCTGCTTTTGCAGGTCACTTTTGACCGTTCAAGCATTTTCTGCTGCCTTCCCACCACTCCCATTTCTGAACAGGAAGTTTAGAAAAATTGTCATGCGTATTGTCACACCTGAACAAAAAAAAGCCTGGCTCTTAAGTTCAGTAAAGGTAGCATCCCTATGTCAGTTTCCTTTACCCGTGACATGGTGAAAAAAGGTAGGACACTTACACCTGGGCTCTCTTCCAAAATTTCATACTGAAGAAGTTGGATGGATCATTCTAGAGATGATTTCAACCATCTTATCACTGCTTCTCTTCCTGGAAGTTCATCACCTTCATGTTCTATTCAAGGGCTTGGCTTATTTTCAAGATGTAGTGCATTTTCAAGAGTCATGACCCCAGGGGGAAAATAGACATCCTATAATTACAGTAAAATGGCAGTAAGAGATTGGGATGGCTTATTGAAGAACTAGGGAAAGTTTCTATAAAAATTTCATTTTATTTAAAAAAAAAGGTGTGGGGGAGTGAAATGTAGCAAAACTCAAAAATCTGAAACTGTTGAACTCATTTTAAGGATTTCTTTATCAACAATGTCACCAAGAAGCATAAAACTAAAATTAGTAGCTGGAGGTAGGTCCTCTTCCCGGTTCCTTTAGCAATGCCAGAGCTGCTAAGCTCTGCTTGAATTATAGGAGGCTAATTCTTTACTAAAAGAGTTAAGTTTCATTTAAAAAAATAGATCCCATTTACTCACATGTGAGTGGACTGACTGGTGACTCATCATTCCATTTAAATATACAAAATAATTCATAATCATATTCTCTAAAGGAAAAGAGATCTGCAATATGGAGAAAAATGGCTTTTAACTCTCTCTGCTCCCCCCACTTTATGATGTATAAAGAAAGGTTGAGACTTTTTTAAAAAAATTAAATAATTAGAATTTTTTAAAAACATTTGAAATGTCAGTCCAGGTCTTTCCTAGTTTTGATAGAAGACTCATCAGTGATCTCCAGTGTATATGGTGAGCTTTTTCAACCCTTAATTGAAGCAAAAGAAGTGTCACATCTTAACAAAAACTGCTTTTTCTCCTAATTGTTTAATGTATGTTTGAGTTAAACAGATGTAAACAAAACAGAACTTTTAAACTGTCTAACTGAAAATTCCTTTCCTTCCCCATTGTTCAGCTTTCAATGTCTTGTAATGCTACATCTTGTTAGTCCTCCTTAGCAATTTGTCCATAAGACAAGTGTACCTCTACAGTACAAGCTTGGTATTGTCTAGAAAACAGTATCTGTTGGTGAAGCTTGCCTTTTGCCTTCCTCTTACACCGGGTTCCACGGGTATAATTAGGGGTATGGTGCAAACACCTGTTCACTTCTTTCTGACCAACAGATATGCAGAGTCCAGAGCATACTTGCTATCGTTAATGCCTCTATCATCTGCTTCTTCCTTTGTTCGTGATCATTTGGATGATTAAAAACAAAGCCATAACTCTTTGCTGCGGTGGAGGAAGGAGGAGCATGCCTATCATGGAGTTCATTCTTACTCCTTTCCTGTTTTCATTAATAGTCACTTTGAGAGTGGGTTGGGGTGCCTGTGGATTGCACAGGAGATGTGCAGAGCCCCAAGTATTTAGCAGTTCCACGGCTAGGGAATTTTCTGCAAATTCTGCTCCTGGCTGCAGAATCTAAGCTTTTACGTTTAAAGGAGGAAA